CATGATCTCAAGGTCTGTGAGTTCGAGCCCACGTCGGGCTCTGTGCTGACAGCTCAGAGCCTGGAGCCTGCTTCGGATTATTTGTCTCCCTCTCTCTCTACCCCTCCCCCACTTGCACTCTCTCTCTCTCTCTCTCTCTCTCTCAAAAATAAATAAACATTAGAACCATTTAAAAAATAATAAAGGTAAAAGTTACAGTTGTCCCATGGGATCTAGAACATTCTTGGCTACAGCGCTGATTGCACTGCTTCTGTGCACTTCGTAATTTTTGTTGGTGCGATGGTCTCCCAGAGATGTCTACATCCTAATCTCAGGAACCTATACATGTGTTATTTTACATGGTAAATAGGATTTAAGATTGTAGATGGAATTAAAGTTGCTAACCAGCTAACTTTGGGATGGATAGATTATCCTGGATTACCTAGGTGGGCCCAGCGTAATTATGAGGGTCCTTCTAAGTGGAAGAGGGAGGCTAAGAGACAGAACCAGATTGGTGGCAGCCTGGCACCGCTGGCTTTGAGGCTGAAGGAATGGGACGATGAGGCGGTGGCCTCTAGAAGCTGGAAAAACACCTTGGAAGCTGATTCTCCCCTAGAACCTCCAGAAGATAGCTGCCCTTTGCGTACTTTGATTTTACTTTTTTTTTTCTTTTTTTAGTGTTTGTTTATTTTTGAGAGAGAGAGAGAGAAACGGAGTGTGACTAGGGGGTGGGGGGGAGAGAGGGAGACACAGAATCCGAAGCAGGCTCCAGGCTCTGAGCCGTCAGCACAGAGCCCAACGCGGGGCTCGAACTCATGACCTGTGCGGTCATAACCTGAGCTGCAGTTGGACTGATGCTTAACCGACTGAGCCACCTAGGCACCCCAAGCGTAATGTGATTTTCACCAAGTGACACCTATTTCAGACTTCTGGTGTCCAGAACTTTAAGGTAATAAGTCCGTGTTGTATTAAATCTGTGGTAATTTGTTTCTGCAGCAATAGGAAACTAACACAGTTGGGTTGTTTTTCTGAGTCCCAGTCATGTTAAGAGTAACCCCTCCCAAGAAAACAGTACCTGGTTTTAAGTTTTCTTTCTCTGCTTTTGCCAAAGTAAGCACTTGACCTACATCCTGGCCCCCTTTTCCCCTCCTCGACTTTATCTTCCTCAAAGCATCAATCTGGCAACACAGGAGTACTGAGTCAGCAGTGCTATGGGATGAAAAGGTTATTTTAAATAATGGCCTTTACAGAGATCTTCTGGTCCAACTTCGACAAACAGAGCGGTGCTAGCTTGCACAGTTCAAAACATCTTCTCTACCAGCAAGGCCAGCAGGAGGAAACCAAAGTGATAGAAAATGGGTAGAGCAAACATACGTAAATTCACAGACTCCTCTCATTAAACTGCTCCGGGGGAAAGATAAAGGAGTGTTCTCAGCCAAGGGGAACTCACTGTTCTCTTTATGCTAACTCTTTGTTTTAGACCTCCATCAGGTCTACCAGCAAGCCCAGTTTGACCTTTACGTTCATCAAATAATTAAGACCATGCCTGGATGGAGCCAGTTCTCCCCCCACAAATGGATTGTGCTTTGTTCTTTAACAATGTTTACAGAGGGCAGGATTTTCCTGGCACTGGATCCCTGGTGTGCTGTTTTGGGTAAGTCCCACCCCTGGGGCAGAACCTTGTGATTTTGCAGAAGATCCAGATTTCTCTCTGCTCCACAGTCCTCATCAGTTGATGAGAGATTACAGACTCACAGGCCAAGTGGCCTGGCTTTGGTTCCAGTCCAGATTTGAGGACCGACTGCTACCAGCCATGTAGTGTTAAGAACAGCACACTGCTCTCATTCACATTTGACTCCGTGGCTTAGATGTCGCCTCAGAGAAATCTGAGACGTCACCTACTTAGAATTAGGGCTTCATGATGTGTATCAGAATCATTAATTCCACCCATACATTTCTTTCATTTATTCCACCTCATTCTCTTCAGAGCTGGTCAACAGGTATCTATTTACACTTACTATTAGCCAGGCACTGTGCTCAGCATTGCACATACACAGTGGTCAAACATGAAGAAATTCTTCCCCTCGTGGAGTTCCCATTTTTAATGGTAAAGAAAAATACAGTTCCACTAAACACACAAATAAATGTCCATATATCAACAGGTACACTGAAATCATAGTTTAAATAACAGCAGCAAGCACAAAAATCTTCTAGACTACTAAGAAAGAGATGAAAATACGGGCAAATAGAAATGAAAGAATGGAATAAGTGTGATATTTTATATACATAATAGGATCAAGGATAAAAGGGTGGTACAGTTATATTTGGGGTGGATATTAAGAAGATGAGTATATAATTAGAGCATAAGAAATCCACAAAGTCTTTTCCTGAATGAAGACAGCGGAAAGGGTTCAGTGCTTGGATTCAAAAAGAAAGAGAGAAGTCCAATAATCTATGGAACAAATCCTCAGATCCTCAAATCCCCTCCGTAAGTGAGCTTTCCTGAGCCTTGGGGGTCATTATCTGTAAGTTGAAGATATGTTCAGTCTTGTGCATTTTTGAGAACTTAAAAAAAGAATATTCAAGAAAGTCCCTAGAACAGTGGCTGATATATACATAGTCTGTAATACCCAGTTTTGGGATCTGGACATGAAACCTGAATGGATAAACCACAAACAGGATTGTGGAGTGAAACCTGGCCCTGAAGAAGACTCTTGTTTTTCAAGAACACTGACAGCACGTTGGTTTCTAACAGTTCTCCACTAAAAGGAACCAGGGCTCCTGAGAGAAATGGCTCATCCTAGGACTAGAGCAGGAAATACACACGATCAGCATGAAGCATTTTGTGTTGCCAGAAAGTGAGGAGGCACTAAAAACAAACAAAAATGCACATATACATTTATACAACGAGAGGGTTATGTCCAAGGATACAGAAACCACTGGAAGAACTCCCAATGGCCAAAGCTGGAAGAATGTTAGCACTAAAATAAATACAATCATATTAGACTGTAATCCAAAGTATAAAATAAATATTCACAAGCCCATACTGGTATAGAAATCATGAGAAAACATCAGAAAAATACCCACTAAGGGCCATCCTACAAAGTACTTCACCAGTACTCCTCCAACGTGACAAGGTTAAAAAAAGGTAAGTCTGAGGAATTATCACAGCCAAGAGCCTAAGGAGACATGACTACTAAGTGTAATATGGTATCCTGCATGAGATCCTGCAATAAAAAAGGACATTAGATAAGAATGAAAGAAATATGAATAAAGTGTGGACTTTAGTTAATAATAATGTGTCAAAATTGTTTCATTAATTATGACAAACGTAACAGACTAATGTAAAATATTAATAAAAGGAGAAAGTGGGTGTGGTATGTATGGGAAATCTCCATACTATCTTCACAATATTTGTTTAAATCTACTGTTATAAAATAACAAAGTTAATTAAAAAAAAAAAAAGACAAAGAAATGAAAACATTCTTGCAATGCCAGACTTTTAGGCATCCTAGGAACGATATGGAAAAGATCCCCCCACACACCCAAATTATTCCTCCACTGGAGTCGGGGTTAGAAGAGCCAATGGTTAGATTTAATCAAAGCCTGAAGAGGAGGTTATTCCGCCCATTTGATCACTGAATAAGAAGGAGCAGAGTAAAACCATTGGGTCTGTTTTCAATTAGTGACAATTCTTAAAGTCAGTCTTGTTTTAATTTGAAATTTAGGACCATCAACAAAATATGTATCTTTCCCAGCAGTTTTGTTACAGTTGCCCCACTGTGTGTCTTTGCTGCCTTTCTTCATCACTGCATTTCTTTTGTGTGTTCAACCTGATTCCAATTGATATTTCAAAACTGCGTAATGGTTTTATTGTGAAGCCTTGCCTCCCCGGTTTGATTTTCTATAATATAGGTCAGCGCACCCCGTTCCCTGAGACAACTTGTGCCTTCCTCCCCCAGGAACAAAGCTCACGTCACGTCGAGTTCAGGAATACTCACTTTGGCAGTAAGAGCGTGAGAAAAAAAGTCACTGTATTATGGTATTAGACACTTATCTGGCGGGTTATTTTAAATATTATATTACCAGAACTTGAATAGCAACAATAACCCATTCTGTTAAAAAAAAAAAAAAAAGAAAAGAGGAAAAAAAATAAAACAAAGTAAAAGGAGGATTGCTTATAAGTGCTTCAGATCTATTGCAATTTCGTCCATTTTCCTAAAAAGTTAAGGCGAAGAAAACGAAATAATAGGAAACGTTCCCAGGATTTTAAATCTCATGAGCTCAGAATCCGTGCAAATCCTGTTTAGAACCACCCCGTGAAATTGGCTTTGGGACGTCCCCCCGCTACTCGTTCATTCAGCTTCTGAATCTTTCTAACAATCATTCCGCTGGAAGTCCCCTGAGGACACAGCAGCTGGCTGGAGTCCCCAGACCAGACTTCCCTAACCGAATGCAGAAGTGCAGGTGGAGAGGATAAAAGGAATTCTGGCTCAGCAGTCACGAACTCCCCTCATCCGCGGCCCCACAAGTGCACTGCGTCGCACCCGTGCGGTCGGGAGCCTCGGAAACCCGAGAAAAACTCCGACCCTACCCCCTTCTCCGGTCCTCAGGAGTGTGGCCAGCGCCTGCCTCCCTGTGATGCCATCTTGAGATCTTAGCATCTCAGAAGTAGTGCTTGAGTTGTGCGTTCTGTTCGCGTCCCTGGGTCTCTGAAAACTTACCCCAACTTTGCAAGAAGCCTGCTGGTGTGGACTCTTAATGTTCTTGAGCCAGAACTGACAAAATCGGAGGCTATCGACCGCGGATGCCCGCCCTCCCCCCGCCGCCCCCGCGCCGGCCCGCACCCCGATTCCCGCTCGCCGGGGCGCCAAGCCAGACGGCCCCCGCGGCACACGCGCGCAGCCCGGGGCGCCAGAGACAGCCGTCGGCGCGCGCCGCGTCCCGGGGCTGGAGGTCCGGGTGGGGGGAACGGTCCCAGCACGCGCGGGCGGAAGGGTGGAGGTACCCCAGCAACTTACAGCCCAGGGCGACCACCAGGTAGCGCAGCAGCAGCAGGAGGAGGCGGTGGCGGCTCCTCCTCGCCATCTTCTCGGGGTCCGAGCTGGCTGCGCCTCGGAAGCCGAGGGTCCCAGCGGCCGGAGCGCGGGAGGGCCCGGGCTGGGGGGGGGGGGGGGGGGGGCCGGGCGGGGGCTGAACTTCTGGGGCAGGAGAGGAGAGGCCGGCTCCGGGGAGACCAGGGGAGCGGTGGGCGGACCCCAATGGATGTCAGTTTCCCCCTGCCGGGGGCGCCTTCTCAGCCGGCCGCCTAGGGGCAGGTCTGGCTTGGCGGGGGACTTGGGGGTGGGGGGGGTCTGGGCTGTTCCTTTTGGGGGGTGGGGGGGGGGAGCGGGAGGGCCGTGGATGCCGGGCGAGGTGTGGGCTGGGTCCTAATGAGGGGGCAGGAGAAGGCGAGGAGCGGAAGGGAAGCCCCGGCGGGCGTCCCCCCGCCCCCGCGCCGCCGGGATTGATCGGCTTTGTGTCTGGTCCGGCGCGGGGGCTGCCAGCTGTCCCCGGGGTGAGGAGCCAGGGGGGGCGGGAGGCGCGGGCGGCGGGCGCTCGGGCGGGGTGGGGGGGGAGGCGGCGGTGGAGGGCAACTCCGCCCGCCTCGCTCCAACTCCTTTCTTCCCTCTCCTCGGCACAAAACTTTTCGGGTTTTCAGCCTAGGGGTGGAGATTTTTGGAAAATTTCTGTCCAACGGGCGAAGCTGCGGGGGGGGGGGGGGGGCGCTGCCGGGAGATGGGATCGGCCGGCTCCGCCTTGGACACGAGAGGGGGAAAAAAAGAAGAAAAAAAAAAAAGCAATGAGGACTCACGCTGCAAGGCAGGGCTCCGATTTTAGCAAGAGCCTTGGCCCCTTCTCAGCGTAAGCTTTGTGCTCTTTGGAGAGTTAAGGTGTGTTTTGTGTTCTTTGCTTTTCACGTGTCAGAGTTGGAAGTTCATCTAACGGTGTGAAATATTTATTATGTTTCTTTTCTTTCCAGTTACATAACTGCTGCCTGTGGAGTTTTCCACATGTTAAAACTCTACAGCTGCCCTTTGTCAGGTTTATTTTTGGTCTACTGTGCTTTTAAAAGGGAAACCCATTATGAATGCTCTGTTGCCTGCTTTAAAATTGACCTGCACTTATACTGCACACACTCCAAGGGCTAAACAGACAATTTTTCTATTTGCTCCCAGGGACCAAAAATGTCTGGTGCATTCAAGAATAGTGACAGGTCTGGAAAAAGGCCATTCCCAAGAGAAGAAATTGTGATACATCAGTTTTTCAAAGGTAGAATAATGGATAAAGTTCTGAATAGAAGACAGTTGATTTAGTGGTGTGCACATGAAGAATTTAGCTCACTGGACAAAGGCGACCAGAGTTTAGATATGCGGAGCTGTGAGGAATGAGACCTCCCTGCTGTTTCCTTGGTGACAGGGATGGAAGCTTGATACTCAAGGCAGGAGACGGGCAGAGGACCCAGAAAGTCAAAATGGCAAAAACGTAAGAGCTACACTCCAGTCAAGCAAGGGGAGAGGACACAGATTTAACAACACATTTTTATGCCAGTTTTCTGGGCAGTGACCAGAAAAATATAATGCTTTACAAGAGTTGTTGGCATTCTCTTTTCTTGTTCTTGCCACTATGGATCTCTTTTGCTCCTCCCTAAAGACACACACAAAAAGGCATACTTTTTTTTTTTTTTTCTGCGACATCCTAGGTGAATAAGTGATTCACTCAGTTGTCATCAGTTAAAGCATTTGTCAAAGAGCTACAGTGTGTTGGATGCTGGGGTACAATGATGAACAAGACTGAGTCTTTGCTACTAACGAGCTCATGGTCTTGAGAGAGAAAGTCCCATCTGGAAAGATTTCTAATATCACCTAAGTGTTGTGGGAGAACAGAAAATGATAACAGCACTTTTTACTGAGTGCTTTCTCAGTGGGGGAGTCTGGCTAGTGCCACACTGAATCCCCCAACAACTCTGTAAGGGAGAAAATGTTATCATTCCCACTTTGCAGATGAAAACTGGACTGCTAGATGCCAGTGGCTTGTTCAAGGTCAAGAATAAGGGGGATGTTTCTCTATTGAAGGGTGTGTGCAGGGCTTTATAAGGCATGAAAAATTGTAGTTGTTGAAGGGAAGAAAATAAGCAAATGGCATTCTAGGTAGAGAAAAGAGCAAGATGGAAAGCTGGAAAATTCTGGCTTGTTTAGGTAAAGCAATGTTCTACAGTGCCAGCGGAAGTGGCGAGAACCGAAGAGGCGGTTGGATTATGAGAGTCATTCAGTGCCATACTACAGACTCTGGACCTTATCCTGCAGTTAAAGAGCTTTTTGAAAGCACTAGAGTAGGATATGAAAAGAAGAAAAAAAAAATCATGTTTTAAAACTGTGCTATCCCATATGGCAGCCTCCAGATCCATGTAGCTGTGTCGATTTGGATTCAGTCAAATTTAAAATTCAAGTCTCCAGTCACGCTAGCCATGTTTGATGTTCTCAATAGGAACATAGGGGGTAATGGCTAATCTATTGGCCAGTGCAGATATAGAGCATTTCCATCAGTGCAGGAAGTTTTACAAGACACTGCTGCCTTAGAATGATGACTGGTATGGAAATGTAAAGTGGATTAGAGATCAGAGAATCAGGAGGTTAGATAATTCTGAAAACTATTGCAATATTCTGAGAAAGAGCTGAGGCATGAGGTAAATGATCACAGTGGGAGAAGTAAAGAAGCAAGTAGCTTCAAATGATATTTCACAAACCTGGTTAGCAGGATTGTCATGGATTAGGTATGGGGGTGACAAGGGGGAGAGGGTAACTGAGATTTTTAGCCTGGGTTGGTGTATGCGTTTGTTATAAATAGCACATTAACTGAATAAGAAACAGAGGGAGTATACATAGTTCCAGCAGATTTGGAATGAGTTGACTGATTTGCTAGAATTGCTCACAGAATTCAAGGAAACTTACTGACTTAGCATCCCCTGTTTATTAAGAAGGATGCAACCAAACAGCCAGATGAAGAGATACGTAGGGTGAGGTGTGGAAGGGTCCTGAGCACAGGAGCTTTTACCTCATGGAGTTGGGGGACACCGTCCTCCTTTATATGGATACATTCGCTAACCTGGAAGATCTCTGATCCCTGTAGTTTAGGGGTTTTTATAGAGGTTTTGTTAGGTAGGTATGACTAAAGAAATCATTGGCCATTGATGATTAACTCAATCTCCAGCCCCTCACCCCTCTGGAGGTGTGAGGTGGGGCTGAAAGTTCTAACCCTCTAATCATGCCCAGGTCCTTCTGGTGACCAGCCCCCAATCTGAAGCTATCTAGGAGCCCCCAGCCACTAGACATCTCATTAGCATTCAAAAGACACTCATCGTTCCAGAGATCCCAAGGGTCTTAGAAGCTTTTGCGTTAGGAAACTGGGACTAAGATCAGATATTATAACAAAAGATGCTATCAGCCCATCACTCGGGAAATTACAAGGATTTTAGGAGCTCTGTACAGGAATCAGGGATGGAGACCAAATCTATATGTTTTATTATATCACAATATCACACTATACAGTCTAGTAATTATGCTTCTTGGAATTTATCCAAAGGAGCCGAAAAACTTATGTCCACACAAAAACCTGCTCATGGATGGTTGGAACAGCTTTATCCATAATTGTCAAAACTTGGAACCAATCAAGATGTTCTTCAGTAGGTGAATGGATAAATAACCTATAGTACGTGCAGACAGTGGAATACTATTCAGAGCTAAAAAAGAAATGAATCCATGAAAAGAACTGGAGGAACCTTAAATGCAGATCACAAAGTGAAAGAAGCCAATATCCCCAATGGCCACATCTGGTATGATTCTGACTATATGACATTCTGGAAAAGTCAAAAGTATGGAGGCAGTAAAAATCAGTGGTTTTCAGGGATTAGGGGAGACAGAGGGATGGATAGGTGGAATACAGAGGATTTTGTAGGGTAGTGAAGCTACCTACCCTACGGCGGTGAATACATATCAACATATATTTGTCCAAACCCACCCATAGAATATACAACACCAGGAGTGAACCGTAATGCAAACTGTGGACTCTGGGTGATCGTGAGGTGTCAGTGTAGGTTTATGAATTTGACCAATGTATCATTCTGGTGGGGGATGCTGATAATGGGGGAGGGTATGTGGGAAATCTCTGTGACCTTCTGCTTAATTTTGCTGTGACCCGAAAATTGCCCTAAGAAAAACCCCCAAGATCTAGCAACAAAATTAAAACAAACCAAAGGAAGACCTAGAGAAAGATCACAGAAAAGAGCAGCCAAAAAAGAGCGAGAGGAAATGGGAGAGAACTAGGAGCAAAGGTGTTTACAGCGTCACAGGCCAAGAGAAGAGCACTGAGAATTTCTCCTGCAGTCAGCAGTTATGAGGGCACTGGCCCCTTGGACAACAGAGAAAGCGAGCCTCCACCCAACTTTTAGAAAAAATGTAGACACTTGTGTTCCATGCTTAACAGGGTATAAAACTAGGGCATGGGATAGAAACAAATACTGACGTGATTACAAACATCAGCGGCCGGATGCTGGAAGGAATAGCAGGGTTAATACTGCACAGTGAGTGCTTGGGAGCTGGTTTCATTATCTCCCTGATGGCAAGAATCCCTGCCCTGAGGCAGCATGGGGCGGTTTGTCTGGAGGCCTGGAGGGGAAACACAGGAGTCCCTCAACCTCCCTTCTATTCTCTGTGCTCCTACTGGGCTCCCCCTCTCCCCACGTGTCATAATCCCTCTTACTATGACACTATACACAGTTTTGTCAGGCCAGCATCCATGGGGACTTGGTGCTTTGGGACACCTTACCATTGTTTCTTTCCACCCACCCTCATTCTGAATTCAAGGGAAGGTTGAGGAGGTGTGGAGGCACACTTCCTGAAGCGAGCAGTGGAGAGAAGGCTGGGTTTAAATTGAGTGACTTCTCACAACATCTCAGATTTGGTATTTCTGTGTTGGATGGGTTATTTTTCTTCCTGGGTGTGGAGAAGATGCTGGAAAGTGTGCCCACACTCTGCAATTTAGAGAAAAGAAGGGGGAAAAAAAGTCTTTCGTTTCCTGAACCACATAGATTCCCAAGTGTCTCTCCTATAAATTTTAAACTGTGGGTAGAATTTAAGGTCTTTAACTAATGGGATTCTTTTTTTTTTTTTTTTTTTTAATTTTTTTTTCAACGTTTATTTATTTTTTGGGACAGAGAGAGACAGAGCATGAATGGGCAAGGGGCAGAGAGAGAGGGAGACACAGAATCGGAAACAGGCTCCAGGCTCCGAGCCATCAGCCCAGAGCCCGACGCGGGGCTCGAACTCCCGGACCGTGAGATCGTGACCTGGCTGAAGTCGGACGCTTAACCGACTGCGCCACCCAGGCGCCCCTAACTAATGGGATTCTTATGACTTGTCCCTCAATTATTATCTCCTCAGATCACTTTCTGGAATAAGCCTCATTTCGACATCCCATTCTGATATGTATATAAGCACCCTCATGGCTTGTGTTCAAACCACGTCCCTTTCCAGCCAGATAAACCTATTCA